GGACACATAGCTCTGCGGCTCAGTCTCACATTTCACTCATCATTGTCTCGTATACTAAAAATATTTTAATCATTTAACAGAGAATAGTAGCAATAGAAAACCAGGCATTGTATGTGTAGGATTTTTTAAAGATGTTTATCTTTGTCAAAACCATTAGCATAATAATTATTTCGTCTTGATCGAAATTAGTTTTTTCACTTTGTACGCGGTTACAACAACGCTGAGCTTCTTCGTTATTAAATATGATCTTCGTGGTGAACTGGAAAGATGATATGAGCATGCGTATGCTTCTTATTCCTTCCAGGTCAGTAGTTCTCTGTGTCAATAAATATTCCCATGAGGAAAGTGTGAAATGTCACTGAAAATCATAATAATAATAACAGTGATAACAAATCTTCACAAAAATGTAAAAGCCAATCATCCCCATAATAAATATGGACAGCGTCATATTTGAAGATAGAGGAGGTTATCTGAAAAAACAATATGAAGTGACATGGTTTATCTGTGTAGAATATTATCTTCGAACATATTCTGATCTCACACTTCTGTAATGGGTTTAGCAATAATAATTATAATAATTTACATTATATTTACTTACTTAGCAGGTAAGGATTACTTAGCTAAACCAGATGGGTTAGAAGTAATAATAAACTATTCTTGTACACATCAGTTAAAGGGAAGGGGCTTACGTATACGGATAGCTATCTCCAGTGAATATCTCAGGTAGGCAGCCTTAACTATTTTTACAGATCAATCTTAGGAGTACCTTGCTTGATAGTTGAGCACTATAGAAGAGGAGTTTCGAATTGTGTTTCTATTCACAGAGTTGATTTCATGACTTATTAGCAAAACTGTTGGAAGAAATTATGATGGAAACGTCATTCAGGTACCTTGTATTACAGTTGTGTATTATCAACATTCGACTTTATTATATCGTTTTCATGGTTGGTCCATCTTATTACTCTCCATATATGGCATCTCTTATGGTCCGTTATTTATATTGTTATTATTATTGTTCGCTTGGGTTCCAAGTGAAATACAGGACTTCAGCCAGAACGTATCTTCACTTTGTTCTGTTTTATGCTGCCTTCTTTAGCTTGCCGGCTTCATGATTTCCCATAAACTCCCACCTCCTAACTACATGGTATCCTCCTTATCACCTCTAGACACACGCCCAACTCATCGTCCCCTATCCCGATTCTAACCGTCCTTGGTGGCACGCGATATCATTCTAGGGTTTTGTGAACACATGACCAGTCCACCTCCATTTTCTCCAAAGTATTCGCTGAGCAACAGGTTGTTGATTAATCTGTTCCCATAGTTTCTCCATGCTAATTCTCTTGGACCAGCTAGTAATTTGATCATCAGTGTGTAGCCAGCAGAGATTTCGGCTGATAACAAACGTCTGTAGTTGGCTTTTGGAAGTGAGCTCCGTGATTCACGCGCAATGCGAGTTTTCAATCTATAAAGAGGAAGTAACTGACTGACTGACTGACTAACTTAACATTTGTGCTAAAATCTGAATCGTGATCGGGGCCTACTGATTGCTGATGCTCATGTAGGAGAGAATCACTGGACACAGAAGATACAGCATTCTTATCGGGAAAGTGACTGTCGAGTTAGTCTGCCCTTAGATCGTGAAACTGAGGTGAAATGTTGATCTGTGTCACCAGTCGAAATGAACTCACTGTTAGTTTGTTATGGACCTTTCGCTAATTAGTATGATTGCATCAACAGCTGATATGACCGCCAGTATGATAATACTGATATGGATAGGCTAGATTCGCGTATTAATTCGTGGTATCTTCTCCTTCAGGGAGCCACGTAAATGTCAAAAGGCAAGAACTGACTTATGACGTAGAATCACTGCCTACGCCTCACAGCCAAATTGCATTAAGGTGAACAGCATTCTGCCTGGAGTCAGCAGATGGTTGCGAACTAAATCCTTCTAAATGTCAGACCGTTAAGTACACTTCTAAATCTAAAAGAAAGATAAATGATGAAGCTATGGATTCCCATCACCGTTGTAAAATTGATATTGATTTAAAAATCAAGTCTGACGTTAAGAATCTTGAACTGATTCTTTTTTCTGTTCTATCCTGATCTTCCCATGTCTTAGTGATTTCTAGTAAAGTATTCCTTCTTACATTTTATATTAAGAAGTCAAAGCACTTCAGCATAAGTCATCCCACCCTCCTCGTACAGTTTGTCAGCTGTCGCATCTTACCTATTCTCCCTGATTCTTCACCCTTATTCTTTCTTCGGTTGCTCAAGAAAGACTATGTCATAATCCGAAGAACTCTAAAGAATGTCAGTAAAGGAAATCGGAGTGTCCCATTGAGTTAAATCATTGACGCCGTCGTTACTGATAGACCCTTACTTCTATGCTATGAATTCGCTAAATGGATTTGTCAGGCTATGAGCATCCACTTAACTTGCAGATTTCAGGTTGCATCTCCTCAGATAAAAGAAGAAATCATTTCGAAAGACTTAACGCGTGCACATCTTAGCAGAACAATTCCACGACACAATATTTAACAGGCATTTCATGCGATGAAGATAGCATCAGGCACAGAATAACTAACAAACCTTCTTTCCACTATTAAATAAACAGTTTTTTCCATCCTAATGCCATCGCGTTTCACAGTTATTATTCTTCTTAAATTTATAATCCTCTTATTTTATGGTGTGTAATAATTCTTATTTTTTGTTTTCCTATCACCATTCTGTGTCAAGAGAACATTGGATTCAATATTCTACAACGTGCTCAGGTTTCCATACTTTACCAACAATATTGTTTGGAAAACAAACCCCTGTTATTAATATGGTTATTATTGTCACCTAATTGCACATTTTTGACACTGTCTCTACTGTTAATGTAGAAATGTTCCTGTGGTTAATTTTATTTATATTTTGAGTAAATTAGATGAGATAATGTGACAAATTCTGAGAATTCCGTTCTGTATTATAAGTACTGTTTTTGGAATAAAGCAGATCATTGTTATTATTAAGAAAATTTGCTCCAAAAAAGGACTGTACTGGAGTACAGACTGTGTGTTTCCATGCCAACATCCCAAGGCAAAAGCGAGAGTGTTAAGAAAATATCTGTGGCATTTGTGAGAAATCTTTCCCTTTTCGTCGTTGACCCCTGCCATAACGTAGATGATCGGTATAAATTGCATCAATCACAGAGAATTCGCCCATAGTTTGACAAAAGAGACAAGCAGAAAAGACGGAACTTCAAGTGTAAACGTAGAGAAGATGGAAGTGATGAAAAAAACCAAGCAACGGCAAGAAGTTCCAACCTCTATCAACACAGTGTAAATTTGGGAGTGGTCACCCCTCCTTCACTTATTTGACAAGGAAACAACGTTCCAATAAATAAGGATGGCAGAACCAGCCAGAATGGGAGAGAAAAGACGGACCGTCATCACACTCTGAAATCCGAAAACTTTTTCCACATCACCTCAGCATAAAGGAAAAAAAACTAGGTTTTTAGAAACCCACTGTTAAGTTAGTCACTTCCTTGAATATGGGGTAGGAAACAAGCATTGTGAGTGCTTCACGAAAATAATTTCAAATGGGATTTTTTGAAGTACTATCAAGAGCTTTCTTAGCTAGCTCACTACTGAAGATCATATGTCTGGTGAGAAAAAATTATGAAATAGATACTCTGATAGAGGAAGGTACCGATCAGGAACCTATCGCTCAACTAACAAATACGAAGAAAATGAAGGTGGATTGGATGCACTCTGAGTAGAGCAGTGGGCAACATCATTTACCAGGCCATTGTTCCAGCGGAACACGATGAATTGGGCATGTTATTCCGAAGGTGACATGGGGGAGATGGGATCATGATGATGATGATGATGAGGTGGAGCAGATGAAAGCCTATGGTCAGTTGCTGAGCCACCAGCTAAGGATGACTGCAGACAACAGGACGAAGTAGTGAAATGCTGTTAAAGCAATAATAAAACATAGAATTCAAATCATATCACTTCATATTAAACTTTCCACTGAAGTGATGTAAAAACACCAACACGTAATTCAGTAAAAAGTCTCTCTCTCTTTGGAGGAGAATTCGTCCACCTAGCTCTACACTGTGATGAATTATTTTTGTAGGTATGTGTATTTACACCAGGTTTGTCAGACAAGAGTAAAAATTAATTATGACTATTATTTACGTCATCAGATTATTTCAAAAAATTTGATAAATAATAGGATTGAAAGCAGAGGGATCGGGGGTGAATATTAGGGAAAGGGTAGTGGTGATTAGTAATTGTATTATATATTATGAGTTAGAAAAACAAAATCAGGGCAATATAAAGCAACAGCATGGTTGTTACCATGACAGAAGCAGCGATTAAATGATTTTCTTCTGTATGCATAACTCTAGCTTATCCAAGTGAATTTCTAAAACTTCACCAATACAGCCTGGAGACTAAAGCGTATTGCCTTAGGGCAGAATATTCTTCGCTTTTTAGATTACTATCTGTAGGAGGTGTCTGCTGATATGGAATGATGATTTTTCACAGTGTGTTCGATTGTCGCATTTCTTATAGAGTCAGTATTGACACCTTTCTTCAGCCATGTTCTTGAATATTTCTGTGAGACAGTCAACGTATCTGGTTCCGCCTCAGCAGCAGACGAACTGATTTATCAATGAACATAGAAACGGTGAGATTTGAGATCTTTTACTTTAGGAAGGCTTCTGCAGATGAATGGATGACTGGAAAGGAACTCACTATTCTTCTCACAAGGATGCTGAAATTCCTCTCTTAAGGTGAATACTACAGGTCTCTACATCCCCCCTTGAAACTTAGGTTCATATATAGGTCTTTTCTGAAGAAGAAGAAATGTTTTATGCTCCTGGAACTTTTGGTTAGTTTGATATTCTTGTCGGCCATTTTAGCTAGGGTAATTCTCCTTAGTTTTTCATTATATTTCACCCACTTTACAGTCATACTAATTTCATTCACTGTCTATGTTTTATTCTTCAGGTTAGTGCGGCCAGTATCCGTATATCATTCCGTCAAAATGTTATCTATTCAACCATATCACTGATAGCTTAACGTCATGATAAGATTTGAGGGTGACAATAACAATAATAACAACAACAATAATAGTACTACATTGAGTGTTGTATCAGAAGACAATCAACCATCGCCAACGGAAAAACTGACCAAAAACAACGCTTCTTCCAACATTACCCAATTCAAACAATCCCCCCAGCGTCGCAGACAAACAATAAGTATCCTTGAAATCATCTGTGATACCTTCTCTATTCGTGGTGTTGCGCGGATGCGTCGAGGTCCACCATTTCTTCGTGGTCTCTGGTTCTGTTTTGTCCTCATTATGACTATCGGTCTCCTACTGACAACATATCTCCTCGTTCAAGACTATCTTATCTATGATGTTTCTGAGAATATTAATGTGATCTATGATACAAGATCACCATTCCCTGCATTAACCATTTGTCACCATCATCCCTTCTCACAAAATGCTTATCAGCTATGGCGTAATGGACAGGTAATGTCGCCTAGTGTGTTCAACAGGAATATGCGGAATCTGACTCATCAGTTTCTACTAGAGAATGATATTAGCACCGCTGAAGCTTTATATCAGTATGACAGCATGTCAATATATTATCAAAATTTACGGGTAATTGACGCTTACAATCTTGGCCATGATACAACCGCTTTTCTGAACTGTATGCGTCGCGTGAATCACACGATTGAGATTGAAGACAACTGTCTAAATATGGAGGGATTTCAAATCCGAAAGTTTAGTCACCATACTTACTTTAACTGTCATACTTTTGAGCCAAAAACAAAAATGGAGGCGGAGGATACGGATATCATTGCGCTAATCGTTAGTCTGGGGAAAGATCTAAATTATTACAATCAGGAACAGGCGTTTCTCACGGATTTATTCGAGATGGCCAAGGGGTTGCGGTAAGTTTTTGTTTTCAACAAATGAATTTTCAGGTGTTAGTTTGTAGGGATTTGATTGGTTTCAGGATTTCATCATGAGTTGATATCGGTTGGAAAGCCATTGAAAAACCACCAGGGAGTACTGGACAGCTGTTTCCTCCTAGTTTGAAACTTTTAAGCAGAACACGCCCACTGAGGTCCAAACCCAAGTACCTTCCGCTACAAGATGAGAGAGCTGGTAAAGTATTAGGCTACCACTTAGACTTGATCCAACGTCCACACCATGAATTCCAACTTCTGCTAATTCATGACATAGCGCGACCCTAGGCAATGTCTTCGGCGAGTATTTGTCTTCACACCCGACCTGCTGCATCCTATTGGCCACTACTTCTCACTAGAACCCCAGGTAAGTACCTACCTGAATAGGGCCAGTTGCTAGTGAGCATCTCATTGATATTCAAGTGTTGGGTTGTAGGGATTTGATTGGTTGCAGGATTTTGTGATTATATTCATAGTTTAATGTCAAGTAGCAAAACAATCAAAATCATTTGTATCATAATACACAAGGTGTATAGATTTTCGAAAGGTATTCATAGTTTTAAGATTAGTAGACGAATATAAAATGTTGCATAACATGGTGTGAAATTTGATAAGATAGAATTCAATAATGTAAAAATAAATATAGAAATGAATAATTTTGGGTTTAAAATGTCAAGTGGGTCAAGTGGAAAAGATTCTTCGTTACAGACTTCTAAAGACAGCTGAGGCCTTGGCAATTCATCACTTTAAGCCAGACTTTTGTGTACAAAAAAGGTATTTAGAATCCCTACTTCTGCTTTGGCCGTAGAGGGATAGACATTTATTTATTTATTTTATTTTATTTAGTTATTCTAGGTACTTTTCCCTCATTACTTCGATTAATTTTATTATTATTATTCTCAATCTGAATCTTTTCCACTTGACATTTTAAACCCAAAATTATTCATTTCTATATTCATTTTTACATTATTGAATTCTATCTTATCAAATTTCACACCATGTTATGTAACATTTTATATTCGTCTACTAATCCTATAATTATGTACGCCTTCCCAAAATCTATACACACCTTATGTATTATTCTATAAATGACATTAATTATTTTGCCACTTGATATTAAACTATGATTATAATCACAAATATTTTAATTGCATTTCATACCGCTATTATTATTTCATGTATTCACACCTTTGACCTAATTCCCTCCCTCACTGGATATAAAATCCTTTATAAAACCATATATATACGACTGTACAGCTTGATAATAAATGCGTTGTTGAAAAGAGTATCTTCGCTGAATATCTTGTGTTCTTAATGGTACAATGGGAATTATAAAATTATTGGCAGTATTCCCTCATATCCTCTGCCTCACAATCTCCTCCTCTATGTCACCCTCTGACACATGCCCGGCTCGTAGTTTACCCTCCTGGTTCCAATAGAGGGATGGCCTTGAGAGCAGTGTCAATCTACGGTCTCTTCAGAATGTGCCCAATCCACTTTCATTTTCTCCTGCATACTTGTTGAGCGATAGTTTTTTGGTTAGTTTTATCACACAGTTTTGTGCTGTTGATTGTTTCTCATCGGCTGGCTATTTGATCTTAAATACGCAGCCAGCGAAGTCTCCAGGAGGTCTGTTGGAAATGTTTTTCTTGACGCTCAGTGAAATTTTATGAAACTGGTCTTGAAAATTAGAATCTTGTTCTTTATGCTGAGTACATAAGAAAAAAACCAATACTGAATTTCTGCTGAAAACATTCGGTATAGCCTCACACTTAAATTTAGTTCACATACGAAACAGAAAAGGAGAATGGCTTATCACTTCACGATGTCCTGCTAACAGTAAGGTAGGATGATGGTATAAAGAGAGATATCTTTCGCGGAAAAATCAGAGGTTAGTCAATATACCAAATCTCATTGGTTTACCCCATGGTTTAGTTTCAGAAAAATCTGTACAATCGACACTTTTGACGATGACATAAGGAAAATAGATGACAGTTATAGGAGAACGGATGTCCATCATGTAAGAGAGTAATGCCTTCAAACTGTAAAGACAAGACGTATGTAGAAGACTTTATCGTTAAAAGGAGACACACAGACACTTAATTACTTTCACTGGAATTCTGAAAAGTAATAGCTAAAACATATTTTGCCTCTAAACACAATGTTCAACGTTCACCACTCGCTGAATAATTCCAATGTACAAATGAAGCATAAGCTACCGAGTGTGGTCAGTTCATTGTCCATTTATAAATTTAACCTGCTGATTTGCGAGTGTCTACAAAATATGACAAGATTGATGACAACTTATCCGAATACATAAGATGACCGTTACTCAGTGGTGTCCTAATTTCACAAAATGTATTCCTGAACATTCTGTATAATTGGCATTCAGAGAAATGTAGTCGTGTATTTCTCGAAGGAAACAAAGAACAGATATCATAATGATGGATCGGTCTGCACTTTACGTCAAATGGAATTGTGTCACAAGATCTACTGTCAGTCAGTTAATGTAATATTTGCAGATTCTGGGCCTAGAGAAAAAATATGCATAGCTGAAACTATATTGTTCTTCACCGAAGTATTGTCCAATATCTACTGAAAATCCTAATAGGATATTTCTGTATGATAATAATTTCATTTTTCAAGTTTGTTCACGGGTTGATATCAGTCACGGAACCTGTGAAGACCTGCAGTAGAGTGCGATGTATAGCTGTCCCGTACACCTAGTTTGGAATTCATCAACAGTACTCTCTTGGAGTCAGAAGAGAAGCACTTAGACTATTCAACCACGGGGATGCAATTCATTGACTCTGCAAATTCATGACTTCAGCATGACTAGCACCTGCCGGTGCCATCCGTAGCGAGTAATTTTCCTCCCTCCCGACTACTTGGTCGAAGAATCCCCCAGTCCAATGCTTCTCAGTAGGACTTTGCAGGCAACTTCATCTCTCATTTATCAGTCATTAGTGGGTATAGTCTATGAGCTTACCCTGTCAGCGAAAATATCCCGTTTCCAGCCTGGCTGGTGGATACGTATTGCCAATGAGTCCCAAACTAGGCGGACGAAACATCTGTCTACTATTCCGGTACTGGTTTTCAGTAATTTCCTAATCATCATATCCAATCAATTTGCGAATTCAGCAGTCTCCCCAGCAGGAATACCGATCCACTTCCATTTCCTTCGCCATATTCTTCGAGCAATAGGTTGTTGATTGATCTGTTCTCAGTTTTTAGAGAGAAGGCAGATATTGATAAAGGCCTGCAACCTATTCGAAATACTTTTCTTGACGCACTGACATTCTGACACATATAGAAGAACCAACTTAACATTAGTGTTGGAAAGAATCCAAGTCTTGTTCTTTAGAGTTCAGTAGATTTCCAAAACTTACTTCAGAGCGATGAGGGTGTACCTCACCTTTCCGAATCGTGTTTTGAGATCATCAACCATCCTGCCCGTAGTTGAAACTATCCCGCCCAGCCACGTGAGCGAAGTATATTATTATTATTGTTCACTTGGGTTCCTAGTGGAACATCGGGCTTCAACTGCACGTCTCCACTTTCTTCTGTCGTCCTTATGCTGTACTTTTCATCTGCATCCATACTAGTCCATACTGTTTCAGCTCCTCTTCACACAATCTCCTCCATGTCATACTTGCACTGATGTCCCACTCGCCGCTTCCTTCCCTTTCGGGCTCCACTCGAACAATAGCCTGACGCGCGCACGATGTCACCCAGCGTCCTCCTCAGCGAGTGTCCATCTCCACTTTCTCATGCATATTTATTGGGCGATTGGTTCTTGTTTTGTTTCTTCCCAGAGTTTCTTGTTGGTGATTCTTTCCGACCCTCTGATCTTCAGTATAGAGCGAAGACAGTTAGTTGTTGATAAAGGTTTGCAACAGGTGGTTGGAAATATTCTTTGTGACCCGACAGCGAACTTTCTGATCCGTATAGAAGAACTGACCGACTTGACGTTTGTATTGAAAATCCGAGTGAATTTGTTGTTGATGCTGGCCGAGTGACGAAGATTTCCAGATTGGTTGTTTCAGATTGATGAATGTGTTTCTTGCCCCCCTCCCCGATTCTCGCTCGATTCGACATCCTCGTCTGTAGTTGAGACAATGCTCTCCAGAAAATTGAGTTAATGAAGTGACCTCTTCCAAATCCCTCTCGTTGATGGTGATTGACTCTAGATGTTGTTGTTGGTTGATTATTTTCATCACCTCCGTCCTGTCTGTGTTCACTTGGAGTCCAGAGTTTGCTGCTTATTCGACCAGTTTGTCGGTTTTCGCTTGTAAGTCTCCGATTTTGTGTGACATCAAACATAAATGATCCACGCGCGAAATCCAGGTCTTCTAGGTTCTTCACATCGGTCCAGGATATCCTGTCTTCTCATTTCCCACTGTCTGACGCATAATCCAGTCCACCACAATTAGGAATATCACTGGTGATAGTAAGCACCCTTGTCTGACTCTTGTGTTTACTCCAAACGCCTTGCTGAGTTTTCCGTTGTGGATCACTTGACATGTGCCGTTGTCATACAGCTGTCGGATGAGGCTGATGAATATTTGGGGTACGCCGTAGTACTCGAGTAGTTTCCAAATTACTTCGCGGTCAACACTACGCTGTCGAAGGCCTTCTCAAAGTTTGTAAAGTTGAGGTAGAGGTTTGATTGCTTGTCCATACTTTGTTCTGTGATGATGATGCGTAGAGTTGCGATTTGGTCGGAACATGATTTACCTTTCCTGAATCCAGCTTGTTCTGCTCGGAGTTCTGCATCCAGTGCGTCTTTTATTCTCTCCAGGATGATGCTACTCAGGAATTTACTTGGCGTCGGCAGGAGCATGATTCCTCGCCAGTTCTTTCAGAGTCCTAAGTCGCCCTTCTTTGGTAGTTTCACGAGGTAACCTTTCATCTAGTCAGTAGGCACCTATCCCCCCTTCCAGATCTTTTGCATTATATATTATTATATATTATATATATAT